GTGTATAATATCGTTGATATTCGAAATGGCTCGGCGACTATTTAAGGAATCCCGTTGATTAATCTGTCAGCACGCGCGAGGATCGCTGATCCTCCACTCTTGGACCACAAACCGATTCACGCTCACAACGTTTGTGAACATCATTTATCCTTGTTTAACTTGTGATAAACAACAAGAATAAAACGATCTTTTATGGTTCCTGCATATAGGATGCGGCAAACGCTTGCTACGTGGCGGAAATTGACGCGATAGCCAATCAATTTATCGCTTTTTCATAAAAACAAAAAAAAAGTGATTGCACAAGGGAAGAGAGGATGATGATTTTATTGAAGTATTAAAAAATTTAGCTCCTACAGATCTGAAAGTAATTGTTGGATTATTAAAATAATTGTGCAAGACGCTCAAGTTGATTGCTAGAATGTCAAAATTTTACTAGCTTGTAAAATTTGATACTTGAGATTCTTACGTAATTATTTGGAGGGTCCAAAAATTATTTTTATACTCGTACAAGTTAAATTTTCGGATGCTTCAACAAAATCGTTTTTTCCGTGTCTAAATCTCAAAACTTTGTTAATTATCAAAATAATTGTATAGGTCGCTTAAGTCGATTCACGATTGTTAGAATGTTAAAAGAAAAAAATTAGAATGTTGTTAGAATGTTTTAGCAAAGCTTTATGAAAAAGACATATTAATAGAGTAATAGACATAAAATATGATATAATAAACTATTAATATAAATATAAATACAATAGACAATAGTACTTACAAAATCACAATAACAAAATCATTCTTTCCGAGTGGCTATCACCAACTTTCGTCGTGCGGCAAGCATTGCTACGTTTTTTATGCAAGAAGCATTATATGTTATGAGCATGAATCGAACTGGAAAGTCCCAGCCTGGCCGATCTTCATTGATCCCCATTCGATCGATCTACATTTTAAATGGCTCGCCATCTACGAAATCAAAACGCCCGTCACACAATTAGAATTTTCGCGAATGACAGGAAAGATAGAAAGTTTGTATCTCCCTGCGAGTTGACAAATCGGGCGATACGTTATCGTGACAGCGGCCTAAAGGTTGCGGATTCGTACCGTAAATCATTAGAATACCACGGAATGAATATACGCGCGATACGAAATCCGAGCATGTTTCGTCGACGCATGATGATGAGGAATGACATCGATATTTTTGACACGTATCTTTTTTGATCCGTCCGATTTAGCCGGAGATACGCATACGTAGCAAAATACGGAGGAACGGATTTGTTCTTTCCCTTCCGTTGGATAAAAATGAGATGGAATTTTTGGATGAACGATGTGGATTGGATCGCGCGATTGAGATAAAAATAATGTAAACCCGCTTTCGTAAAAGACGCTGTATTGTTTTGTCAAAATGAATGCTAGTCAATCGTAGAAATTCCCAACCGAGTCTTTCCAACGCGAAAATAAAATAAACGATAGGTATAATATTTTAGCGCCTTGACAGAAAAAACTAGAGAAAAAAGAGGGGATCCCTATCCTCTGATTTCTCGCTAACGAAAAATTTTAACGCTACGGAACGAATTCACTCCCGTTCCTCGACAAGGCTCGACCATTGCGTCAATTAACGAGCAAACAGATAAATTGACGGCTTGGTGCGAAAGAGTGGCCGCTCAGTGAACATCCTTTTTCTCCTTCGGACATTTCATAAACTGTGAAATTCTGCCGGCGCTTCTACTTCGTTGGTCTTAGAGACTCTCTAATCGGAGTCAAGACACGAAACAGCCACTTTTGATTGATCCATGTTTGAACAACTCCTGAGAGAGAGAGAGAGAGAGAGAGAGAACTGAAAAAAAGAAAGAAAGAGTAAATATATGTTCCTCTCTCGCATGATTTGATGCTAAAACTATAGATTCTGCATATAAAACATGGCTCGTGTCCAAACTCTCATTAGAGGGTATTTAGTTGATCCTAGAGATACTAAAGTAGGAGATCGGTTACCGTTTAACTTCTGATTGGTTTACCATATTCAGAACAGTGCTTAAGATAGAATGGGATAAATGCATAAAATAGAAAAACATGCGTACATATTTCATTTTATCTTGTACATAATCTATCTCATAATTTATCTTAAGTATCTGAATATGGCGGATGTTAAATTCATAATGTCAAATTATATCCAATTTGAGTTGATTTCTATAAATCGCCCACTCAATATCGTTAATTTAACTAAAACAATAGAGTTAAATGATTTAACTCGAGAAAATATATTAAATTTGATTCAAATTTATTATTTACTTTTATATTATTAAATGCATACGTTAATATGGACGTTGTTTACTTTGAAGCTAACTAGAAACGGATTGATTTACATTTTGACACACATGGAAGTCAAAAATAACAAAATGTTATTTAACTCGAGAGATTGGATTGCCATCGCTCCTTTGATATCTAACAGTATAGCCAAGTATAGCCAATCTCTTATTTGAGGATCTCTAGTTAGTCCCAGCTTTTCGTGAGGGACGAACATGACTGAACCAGCTTGAGGCCGAATCGCCTGACCCGCGTTGATTCGATCGTAAATGGAATCGTCACGAAAGCGGCGACTGTTTCGCGCTGTAACGAGCCTCGAAAGGTAGCAGGCGATTGCCAGGCGAAGTGGTAACGATAAGAGTTTGTAGTGGCCGATGGTGCGTACGTTTCGCGCTTGTACAGCATGTGCATGTCTCTTCTTCTTTTGCATCGATTTATACAATATCTTGATATATACTAGCACGCGCGAACACACACACACACACACACACACACAATATTTCTGCAAAGAATTTGTATTCTGTATTTATGCACGTTTACGCAGCTTTGAGTGCACGCGCGTTCGTAATCACATTCTCTTCGCCTTTTTTCCCGTCTCTCGTTTTTTTTTTCCTCGAACTGATGAATAAACCCTCTACCACTGGCGAAGAGTAGGTAATTCACTTGCGAACGCGACGAAGCACTTGCAATATTTTTTTTTGTCACGTGGTTGCTTTTACGTCCTCCCCTCGCTCGTGATGTGCGCAGACTATTTTGCCTGTAGTTGTCTTGGTTGGCGTTGTTGTCTTGGCGTGACCCGATGAGAATAACGAGTGATTATTAATAACATAATGTATCCCCCGGTAAGCTCTGTGGTATGGATTACGTAGTAGTTAACATGCGATGACGAGAATCATCGCAAATGATTTGCAAGCGCGACGACGAACGCGCGGCAAATCGGTGACGAAGCGACGTGGCGAAGCTATTGAGTTTCTTGATTAAAATGTGTTGTAAATTAATGGACCAGCTTTTGTACTGTTGCATACAGCGCTATCGATCACGCTATCGAAGAATACTTTTGAACGTAGGCGTATTGAACGTATTGAAAATTTACACGATGTAAAATTAAAAATTTTCAAAGACTATCTTTATTAATTATCTTATGTTTGCTTTTAATTTTTTTTTAAATTAGAGGTCAATGTTGACCATACTACTGATACTCAAGAAATCATTATAAATTGTTGAACTCGAACGGATCGCCGATTCCTTTCGCTATGTTGATCGTCACTGGATGATCTAGGTGCTAATATCCCATTATCATACAAATGCCATAATATGCATCTCTAATATTTATAGGTGCAGCAGCCAATCTACGTAAGGAAGTGATCAGAAACAAGATCAGAGCCATTGGCAAAATGGCACGGGTGTTCTCCGTCCTGAGGTCAGTGAACGATAAAACAATCTTTAAATACGTCCATAATGTGCTCTGAAATATATGATACTTTAATATAGGAATAATAGATTTAAAATAATAGACGTAAAAATTGATGCGAAACTCGACTCATAAGGATGGATTTTTGTACAAATTACAATTTAAAATAAAAAAGTTACATATTATATATATTATAAAAACTACAACTTTTACGACTATTTAATGATTTTTAATTATTTCATTGTTATTATAATGTAATTTTAATCTCTTCACAGAGAGGAGAGCGAGAGCGTTCTGCAGTTGAAGGGCTTGACGCCGACTGGAGCTTTACCGCTCGGTGCATTATCTGGTGGCAAAACCTCTCTGAAAAACGGTAAAAATTTTATAAAACAACTTTTGACATTAGCGTTGAGAATCATTGTAATTCAATTTAGAATTTAAAAATGCAGTGAATTGTGCATATATTTAATTATTTTATCGTGATGCAACGCGAAGGTAGAAGAGAAAAAATACCGGATGTCCCAATTATATTACTCGTGGATAATAAGTATCTCACAATATAATTTAGGGTTTTGTAACTGGTGTTCCGCAAAAATTTTAGAGAAAGTAAAAAGAAGAAGCGGATTTTAGAAATAAGTAAAAAGGCGAGTGAGGTGCCTAGTAAGAAATGTTTTAAATTTTATGAAAATGATATTGTTTACTCTTATTTTAACCAACGTGATATCATCATTGCAATAAAATCATTTTTAAAAAATATGATAAAAACTTTAGAACTTTACTTTTTACATTTTTGAATGTCGTGTTAACAATATTTGAAAAATCTATGCTAAGCATTGAAATGTGCGCACCTAATATGATATACCTCAAAAAATTTGGCTCGTTATTTAAAGTGCTATGAACAGAAAAGGATTGAAAACCGCTGACATAACTAAATATAATCGCGAAATAGAGAGAATTTAATCTTTGCAGAAATGCTTCTCTTACGGTTCTAATTTCGCGTGTTCTAACATTCTGTTTGCTTTATCTCCTTTTTTCTGCCATTCATGCAGCACTTCAAGGCTTCTCGCCGAATCACAAAATTACCTCGTTCGCCGAGGCCAAGGGCTTGGACGCCATAAACGAAAGAATGCCACCGAGGAAAGATGCACCACCTACACCGGCGAACGAGGAGAAATCCGTGGCAAAGCCGCCGCCTCCTGCGGGAGACAAGCGGGACCACAACATGCCGCAACCGCAATCGTGAGCCCCACACTCGTCCACTCAAGGTACACGTCCGCAGATTCTAAACATTGAGAAACACAGGAAAAACCCTTCCTTCTACCTGACTTTTTCTTTCTTGCTTTAGTTGTTTGACTTTTCGAATCATTTAAGGGATCTAATAAGCAAATGCGTAGCAAGTATTTATCCTCCTCGGGGAACAGACATGAGGTAGAATGATGATCTCCAGACGTAAAAAACGCGTACGTAAGGCACGGGTGGAATCAAATCCGGATCCACGCTGAAGCCACTCGTGCTACCCTCTACCTGGTTTAGTCAGTAAATTTCGTAGGATTACATGATATTTAGCGCTGTCTTAACCGACTTTGATGTTCTCACTCAAGTTGAATAATTACTTGCCGAGGAGTTAATTATTAAGAGATTTTTTTTTAATCTTTCTCCTATGCCTTGTGAAATAATATGAATTTTTATTAATTTACGATAACCTAGTGCTTTTTTCCTAATGTGACAAAACGCGTCTTAAAGATGTATCAAGTGTATACTCTCTGCAAAAAGTGATAGGAACTGAAAATTTATATTTTACTTATTTTTTATATATACATGTGAAACAATTCAATAAGATCAACATTTACATTTATTGATACAATTTTATATTTTAAATGAAAATTTTTGCATTTTAGCTTAATTATTTTTTTAAAACATTATTTCTTATTGAACTAATATTTGATCCAAGTTCTAAATTGCAGCAAAACTATTTGTATTACTTTTAAATGTTGTATATAGAAAAGTCCCTAATTTTTTCATTTTGTTAAAAAATACATAATATATTTTTAATATTATCTTCAATATTATATTAAAAATTATGGATTGTTATATTTTTTTAATATTATCTTTTGAAAAAGATCAATACATTTGGGTTGAAACATTTTTCATCTGATACTGCCAACGGGAAAAGAATAAAGACGAGTGTACGCTACATATTTTATATTACCGCATTAATATAAAGTGAACGTTTTTCAGATGGCGGATGGATGGATGGGTCCTAAGACCCCGGCTATCGCCACCACCGAACATTTGCAAACCATTGCTCGTCTCTCCCCCCCCCTCCCCCCCGGCTGTTACAATCAATGCGCCATTCATCGAGGAGTCAGGAGAAATCATCGCCGTCGCAAGAGGAAAATCAGGAACGGACGGACAGATGTTGTTGCGAAGCGAAAGCGATTTTTCATCGATGCGATTTTCAACGAGCATCGTCATCGATCCCGGTGTGCGCATAGCAGAAGAAAACAAGCAGTCAAGGAAAGGGGGCTACACGAACATCGAGAAATACCTAGCCGGGTGTTTCGTAGTAGGCCTCCTCTTCTCCGAGGATTTGTCTCCGTATCTCTTTTTAGCGTACACTCGCGAATGGAAAATGAGAATGTTAGCCTCCCTTCTGCGATGAACCGCGCGCGTGCGATGTTCTCCGTTCTCTCGCCGCTCGTGCAATTATTCCTTGCTCTTTTTCTTTCTATCTCTCTGTATATCTCTCTCTCCTATATATCTTATCTCCTTACCTTCGCTCAGTCTCCGTCTCTCGCAATTTCTCGCTCTTCTTCTCTTCCCAGCATCCACGGACCTGTACACTATATTGTCCGCGTGTTTCTTGCGAATTAATCGACCCAATGTACATACGCGCGCGCGCATGTACGTACGTATCAACGACGAGCGGAATGGTAGGGATATATCTTATAGGTAGATTCGTTTACACACGTCGAGATGGTCATGTATAAGGAAGAACAACTTCCCCTGTCTTCATTGGGTACCATTTCTGTCGTGTCATTTCTTTCTCCGGTGTGGGAAAGCGATGAGAGACGGAACGAACGACTCGCACGCGGTTACATCTATATTAATGAGAGGAATCGCATAGACAGTGTGAAAGAGAGAGAATGAGAGGGAGAGAAAGAGAAAGAGAGAACGGACGAGCGGTCTCCGCCAAAGAAACAAAGAAGGCAGCTGGCCTGTCGTCACGGCGGAGCTTCCGGTTTTAGGATTTTACTAGGTTCTTAAGATGTGTCCGCCCTGGGTGACGCGCGTAAGGGCATCCCCCGCGCCACGGGGTGAGGTTACTTAAACCTTAAGTCGAGCTAAGCTTAGGGTTAAGTCGTAAATATATATATATATATATATACATATATATCTTGGATAGTCCTCTTAAATATACATAAATATTATAAATATTATATATTATATATTATTATTAATTATTAATTATTAATTATTATTATCATTATTATTAATTATTCATTATGTAATCCGAATACCGTGTTTTTCGCTGCCGCGCGTGCACGCGTCCGTCACGATTACACGAAATAATTAACGCGCGAAAGATGCACGTCGAGGGCGCGCATCGTTTCCAAATACAGTCATTACAAACGCAATCTATCTTGGCCGTTCTGCTCCGAGGATTCATTCAATCATCTCGTTCGTGCGATATCGAAGAAAATATCTCGTGTTCGTTGTATCTCCATTTCACGGAACTGTGCACGGCCATGATCTTATACATAAGATGTTTGTTATCTATTAAGTTATTGAGGTGAATCTTGCCCATTGTATAACGATTATATCAGGTTCAGCTGGTCTCAATAATTACTATCGTTTTTCATTAAAACTGAGCTATTGATTATAATATCACGCAAGAATCTCGCTCGTATTACGCAGCGTAGCATCAGGCTGAAATGTATCTTCTTATATGTGATCTCTATGAACTTCCGTTTCGTTATATATTTTGTGATATCGTAGAGTGAATTTTAGGATTACATATATCGAAAACGAGGTAATTTTGAATAGTATTTTTCTTGACGAGACATTAAGAAAGGCTTAATCCCGCATGAACGAGGATTCCAAAATACGTATATGTATATATATATATATATATATATATGTATACATATATACATATTTTATCAGTGAATTATGACACACACTCGTTTAGACATGTTATGCATATCTTTTGCCCCAACTAGTCGCACAGGTTCGCTAGAAAGAGCTATATAAATTGAAAAGAGCTATATGAATTGCAGGCGTCTGATGAGGGGCCGCAATGTGCGTGAGTTCCGCTAATAGGTTTGAAATTAAAATCCGATAGTAGAGCATAATGGTGCTGAAGAAACGCGTAAGCTAGAAAGAATTAAAGAAAGAGAAGACGATGCATTTTGAAAAGAAAGAGAAGACGATGCATTTTGAAAAGAAAGCAGCACCTTGCGTGCAAGAGCGTTAATATTATCTCAATCGTGTTTCTGTCTGAAAATATAAGAGCTCTGCTTGTACCTGGCGTCGGAAGTGAATCCTTGCCGTCAATTTTGGTACAGAACGGCCAAGAATGAGACAAAACTCGAGAACCGTAATCGCGAAATGACGACGTGCCGTAAATGATTTCGTGATGAAAATGATATATTACATTTTTGCGAGTTACTTATTTCGAGAAGTGGATTCTAACGGGGAGTTATAATCGTTAGAGAATTATGAACGTTTCTCATGTGAGAAACGAACGCGATCGTTGAGACGCTTCCGCTTCGATCGTCCGCGCTGTCACGCGCTCAATACGCTTTGTCGCACGTGACGTCCCGAAGATAATCAGAATTGAGGACGGCTACTCTCGTCTCTCATCTGTAATATTTATAGTAATAATCGCTCGCGGTCGTATCGCGGGATTTTGTCGTCGTTTTCGCTGTTTTTTCTACCTCTTCTCTAGAAATCGAGACGTCGCACTTTAGCGAGCTTCGCGAGCTGAATTAGCGTCGGCGAGCAGCGCGGGGGATCGCAAGCCTAATCATATCGGGTACCGGGAAGGAGGAGAAGTATAGATGAGAGATTCGAAGCAAATAGCATCTCCGGAAGCCGAATGGCGGCATCGTCAACGTGTTACGGTCTGAAACATAATAAAAGTAATGAAAGAATATTATATAATAAATGAAATAAGATATATATCTCTTTCTTCTCACTACGATATAAAATATACAGTGAATGATAATTCTATCTCTCTTTGCTACCAAGTTGTACTTATTCTTAATTAATTTACTTGTACAAAAGAATGTGTTAAATAATAATGAAATATATAATATAATATACAAACACAATTATAAATAATACATATTATAATTATAAATATATAAATACATATAAATATACATATATATAAAAAAAGGAACACTATGATATATATATATATATATACAGGATGTCTCAGAACTATCGTCACTCCTTTCATCTATGGATTCCTTCACCGATTTTTTTCCTTGAATGTATAAATTTACAAGTATTCATATCATTGATTTCTTACAATATAATTTTCAAAATTGAATAAGACTCTCAAAACAAGATTTTCTAAATTCGCTTATAGTGTTCGAAGGTATCGATTTCATTTCTATCAAAGAATCGATTTCAAATCGATCAAAGAATTCCCGGATGAAAGAAGCTGTCACAATTCCGGGATACCTTGTATAGGTACACACGTGTATACATATACATTACAGTGTTGATTATCTGATATTACTGCATAATTATGATTATGACGCGATTATTATTCATTTGAATTATAAACTTATTATTGCCATTGTCACTGCTGTCGCCGTTGAAATCATTGCTACACCATTATCACTTGTACTATTGCTATCGCGAAACACGAGGCGCATACGCGTTCGGCGCTATAGTGATTTTCAAAATAATACGACACGTGGGTCAAATTAATAAACACGCATACGCTATATATACATATACAATTGCGATCGTTGCTTGCGCTACGATACGACGAGGGTGGCACGATAATGATGATTCAGAACGCGATTGAAGTCGCTCCCGTCTATCCTTTAATTGTAGAAGCGATTCGTTCTACGAATGCGAGGAGAATAATAAACGTGAGTGTGAACGCGAAGAATGAATTAAAGGACTTCCCTTTCGCATACACGAACTTTCACGGACCATCCACCTTTCGGATCACAGTCTTGACTTGTGCCTTGTTTAGACGTTTCCAATCATTTCCAATCGACTCGCGCTTCGATTCGCACATCCTACACTCAAATAAACTCACCCCCAACGTTGTTCTTTTACGAGAGAAATATTTGATAAATCCAATGCGATCGCGCGCGTCTCCGCCGTCGTCCTTTCTTTCAAAGAAATGGTCTTCCTCGGTGACTTCTTGTAGACGAAGAAATTGATTCCTCGTGCTTTCTCAATGGCGTGATATAAATTCTTAAAAAAATTGTCCCCATCAAATTAATTAATTTTACTCTGAGAGCCGCGACATTATTTCAAATTGATCTATCTTAGAACGACTTGGCTATGCGGACATCTCATTCATTTGTTTGAGAATATAGCACCGTGCCGACACGATATACATTTTATATCCTTCCATAGACATAATACACGTAACAGTTATCATCGTATATGCGTAAAACGCGAATTTTGAATTACTCTTTTATACCATATATACATCAAAGTGAGAAAAATAATGTATAACATACTAATACATGCGTTTTATATATGTACAGTGCTTCGCGACAAACTATAAGCTTGAACTGGAAACTATGTAGGTAAGAGATTCACAAAAATATTATTTAGGCACCAAAATTCACTTTTGCCTTTAATCTGTTTTTAAAACTGGTATCTTATTCATTATATTTAAAAAATAGATTCTTATAGGTTTAATTTGTGACTCAGTCATTGAGCTATCTTTAAAAATAGAAGTAATAAGAAAAAGATATCTAAATTATTATTAAGGAAAAAAATTGGCTTCCCAAGTTCCTCAAAGAGCCTGTTGATACACGCATAATATAATTTATCATGTAATCGCGCAACCCTCTGCATATACAAACATGCATAATTAGATATTATACACGCAAAGCCTGTATTTTCTGCGTAGCCTCATTTCATCTTACATTACACACACACACACACACACACACACACACACACACACAAAATTTGTGATAAGTAAACCGTTTAAGCGGTGTCTCATTATCGTAACAGAATCGTTTAACTGCGAAAACGTCTTTCAGGGGAGAAGTTCGCGCTTCTGTGCAACTGAGCGCGATCTTCTGTAATAATCCTTGTTTTTTCTTCTTTTTTTTTTGTAAACGATTGAATTATCGTGCTGTATGATTCTTCGTGGCTACGTTGCGTTCCCTACGCAAACTCGATAACGTACTCTCATTACATATCCCTTACGTTCTTACGTTTAGCGTGGAATCAGACTTCGTTTGACAAGCAGAGACCTTATCGGACTCAAGTGTAGAGTATAATAATTATCGTTATTATGGAAATTTGAAAGTAAGATTTGCGATTTATAATTTTCCCAATTGTGTAAATGCACGGAACGATTTGTCGGGAAATCTGCGTTCTCTTTCTTTTAGCTTTTTCTCCTAACTTATATCGTTATCGCCACAAAGTCTACTGAGCCTTACTGAGTTTCTTTAACGTATTTTCTAGTATTATCGTTTTCCTTCTCTCATCGGCGAAAATCCCGAGGAAAGAAAAGAAACAAGAAAGAAATAGAACTTTCGAAAGAAATAGGACTCCCCTCGCGAGTCGCATCGAATGCAACTAATCGAGTTTCTCTGCGAAACAATTTTATGTACCTGTTACGACTGATTATTATCGTGTTGTACATCGCTAATAAAGACAGCGAGAAAGAGAATACGTGTATATGTATGTACATACACATGCCGTACGCACGCGTATGTATATATATCTATATAGTATATTATCGTACTGTTACGATTGTTTTGTAACTATCGTTATATGTCATTGGCTGCTTGTTACCGACAGCTTGCGATCGGCTAATTATACATCGCTGAACCGTATGTACATATCGAGTTTTAAGGAGGGCATGCGGGAAGCGTGCGTACGAAGCAAGTCAGTTGCACTATGAGTTAACTCATTTCTATTAGAAATTAATTTTAATTGACAATCCTCACTAAAACTTCCTTTTCGTTGTAATGAAATATACGTATAAGCAAGCTCTTTGCACGGATAATTTTCGTCAATGCTTACAGAAATCCAATTTAATACTGGAAATTACTTATTTTAAGTAATAAAAACACTGTTGTTCAGTGGTTTTAATTTTCAAAATAAATAATTTCCAATAATGAATTGGTCGGTATTGAATTATTTATTTTGAGTATTAAAAGCTCTGTTGTTCAATGCTTTTAACACTCAAAATAAATAACAAATCATTACCTTGCAGTATAAAATTTCTGTAAAGGAACAATATTTTTGTACTTTGATCCTTATTCAAGCTTCTTGCGGCAATGACGCAGGATAATTGAAAAGATACAGTTAATTGCGACTGTGCTGACCGATATTGGCACAACGGACCTACATCGTACGTATGCATCGTAGACCCAATTATTTAAGGCGTGTAACATTCGCCTGCATATCACTTGCACGATTGTTTTTTGCAAATGATGCGCGGAAGATAGATATCTTAATGCTATCTGAATGCTCTCTTTAACGAACGACTGAAAACTATAAAGGAAAGAAAAGACATGTCCTGAGAGAGATGTATGTATGAAAGAGTCAGATCTTATAGATACATTAATATCGCCATTAACGTATTCTATTGAGAGATTCCCTTTCCGTTATAAATTCCACGCTTCGGTTGTATCGTGTCCGATTGAGAAGCTCGAGTGTAGGATATTTCTCACGAATATTAAATTGTTCATTTACACACTCTCTTTCTCTCTCTTTCTCTCTTTCTTTTTCTAATAATTTCGCGCAGCAATATCTGCGAAGCACGGCGTGATCGCATTTCCCTGTTTAATAACTGTACCTGTCTAAAGCGTGTCGTTTAATTAAATCTATTTTCTACGCTCTGTGCCAGCGTAGATAAGGATTCCAGAACGTGCGACAAACGCGGCATATTGCTGTCCGGAATATGACCGGGCGGCAAGAAGAGAACACACATTGGAGATTGCGATTCTTTAATCTTTTCCAAACAAAAAAAAAAAGAAATATTATAGCCTTAGACTCTGTTTCTCTCGTTCCTTTCACGCGAGCGTTGCCCGGTGGATGTGACGTATCTTCTTGAGAATGAAAACCGTACGAAAAATATAATAAATACATCGGAAATGTGTGCGTATGTGTGTATGTGTGTGCTTCCCATCCAATTTTGCAGATCTGAAGAACCGGATTCGTGTTTCATCATTTGTAAATGCGAGTAATAAGACGCTTAAGGATCATAGAACTCATAAAAAATTCATTAAACATGTTAATGATTGCCACAAAAAATGACGTATTATGATTATTTTTACATTAAAATGGTTGATTTTGAGCAGAAATATTCAATAAAAGCGCTTATCTGCTGAAGGAAGTACGAGAACAAAAACATCTCTCGATAAAAGTTACTCTCCGATTCGTAATTAATCGAGATATTTTTGCTTTATCGTTCCATAATACATGCAGAAAAATTTTTTGGTAAGTAATTATTAAAACGTTCAAAATGTTCATAAATAATCCGGTGGGTTCGAAAGTTTTCAAATGATAAAATCAAAGTCTGACGCGTGTCGAATGACGACACATTGTTCTCCAGATTTTATTTTACGAAGTAATATCTTTCGCGAAAAAGTAGAAATTTGAGAAAGCGAAGTATCTTCGGTACACTTTTCATTGCTCTAAGCTTATTGTTGTATCATAAAATTAAAGCAAGAGAGAGAGAGAGAGAGAGAGAGAGAAATAGAAGAATCAAGGAGATAATCCTTAGAACACATCCATCGGGTGATGCCGCAAGCAACGCGCGAGAACCGCAATAACTTCTCGCGACATTCAACGATGATGGAAAAGAATTGTACATACACGTGCGTTTATTATTATCTACTTACTATTACGAGATTTACTCCTAAGATCTTTTGACTAAAATACTTTATAGAAGCGAAACTCTGATCGTGCGTGGAGAACGACAAAAAAAAAGAGCGAGGATTGCATCGCATACATTGTTTAGCGCCATTGTGACTCTATCTCCTTCTTAAAAAAATAAGTATATACATATATATATGTATAAGCACATACACACATATATGTATATACTTATTATATTTGTTTATATATACATAAATACATGACACGCGCGTATATTAGACGCATCGGTACTATTATTATTATCATTATTATGGTTACACGATTCTTATCATTATTGATATCGTCTTCACTATTATAATTATCATTGTCGTGTGAAGAGAATATACGATGAGTAATTATTATAAAATAAATAAAAGGAAATCTTACTTATACATAATTATAAATACGTCATGACGATATATTCGTAACGATTAATTATTACGATAACATAACGACAACATTATTATTACTATTATAAATAACACCCTATTCCCATCTGTTGTGAATGTTTACGTTGTTTTATGATATTTAGAATATTCTAAAAATAAAGTCTATAATTTCCATGAAAAAGATTCTTATTGCATGTCGTTAAATACTTCCTGTTTATCACATTCACGAAGCTTGAATAGTAATAGTGTGATTATGACAGTCCGTATTTACATCGATTACTATTGATAAATATGCGCATTTATCGATAAAAGCGTGAATACGAATCTAATTATTACTGAGGAGTGTCATTAAAAAAATAATTTTGTTATGGAAATGGTTTATATTTATTATTCAGAATCAAGACGTACATATTATACAATGATAAATTTTTGTAGATCAATGAAAAAAATTTCGCATAATATGAATCCATGATTTACTTGAAAAAAAACTTATTGTAACTTTTAAAATTTTTATTATCAGTCCAAATAGATTTGGAAAAAACTGTACGTCATTTCTTTTAACAGAATTCAAAATGAAAAAATCGATTTAAATAGATATACTGATGACTAGTTTAATAAATATATACATATATTGGGTGGATCCATATAATCTCTCGATTTTTGAAGGCTAAAATGAAACAAGTTTTTTTCATACAAAAAATGAATTTTAATCAATGATATATTCTCCGTTTTTGTTGATGACCTCTTGCCATCTTTCCAACAATTTCATTATTCCACTCTCATAGAAAGTCTGGGGCTTAGAGGCGAAAAACCGGTCGAGGTACGTTTTTACAGCTGTCTGATCAGCGAACGATTTCCCGTTGAGGGAGTTTTGCAGGGACCGGAACAAGTGGTAGTCGGATGGCGCAAGGTCTGGTGAATACGGTGGGTGGGGCAAAACATCCCAGCCAAGTTGCACTAATTTTTGCTGAGTGATTATTGCGGTGTGGGGTCTGGCGTTGTCATGGTGGAATATGACACCTTTGCGATTGACCAGTTCTGGACGTTTCTGTCGCAATGCTTGATTCAATTTCGTTAGCTGCGTGCAGTAGACCTTCGAATCAATCGTTTTTCCCTGAGGAAGCAACTCGTAAAACAGCACACCACGATGATCCCACCATATGGATAGCAAAATCTTCTTTGGATCCCCCAGGGATCCATTTGGAGGCCAGGCCGGCCTTCGGGGTGGCATTCGGCGGCTCGCCAGCGATTCCCCATGATCTTTTGCGCACTATGTTCTCGTAGATGATCCACTTTTCGTCGCCAGTCACTATTCGTTTGAGAAACGGATCGCTTTCGTGCCGCTTCAGAAGTGAATTGCAGATGGACATGCGGTTGGGGCCAGGTTCTCCTCGGTCAGCTTGTGCGGCACCCAAAGAGCGGGACACGTAGCCAAGCTGTTGCAAATGTCTTTGAACGGTTCCATAATCTATTTTAAGTGTCTCCGCAATCTCTCGCACCTTTAGCGTCCGGTCTTGCTCAACCAGTGCCTTGATATCATTCGAATCAACCTCGGTGGGCCTCCGCAGCTCGCTTGCCTTTCTTGAAGTAATAAAGTAAAATATGCCGAAAATGCACCTTATTCTCCGACATGTTCACAGGCTTGTAGCACAAACAAAACTAATGCCAATGAAACCAAATTTGACAGATAAAAAGAGCGGACTGTCACCTTTCCAAAACATATTTGGATTGCCTGATTAGGCAACCAGAACCGGAGATATTCGGAAAAAATTTGCACTACTAACAAAAACCGAGAGATTATATGGATCCATCCAATATTTACATACGATAACACGTAAAAGATAAACGAAGCTAATGAATGTTTGAAGTTTCCATTGTCAGCCACAATAATTGACTATTTGGAACAATGTATTTTTTTTTTCTAATGGAAGTTAAAATGGAAAAATTGTTTAGATACAAGATGTAGTGAAGATTAGTTTGATAAGAGATATATATAATACTTATATACGATATACTTGAAAGATAAACCAAATTAATGAATGTTTGAAATATTTTTAAAATTTTTCTATTGTCATGCTATTATTGATAATAATCTGCTGTTTGGAAAAATGGTTTTTTTTTAAATAAAAATTGCAATGGAGAAACCGTTTAGATAAGTATACTGAAGGTCAGTAACGAGTTATTTTTTACAAAAAGAAACGGTAACGCGTTGCTTTTACGAAGTAACTTTCCTCATATTAATACAAGCTGTTGCAAATTTAAAATATTGATTTTCTTATTGCTGAAGTTTTACTTCACCTTTAGAGGCATTCTATAATAATTCATTAGTAATAAATTAGAAGCTACAAATTGATCAATCGTAATCAATTATTGTTCCTCACATTTGACTGTGATTATTAATCAATTTTTAGCTTCTGACTTCTGATTTAATGATAATGGCTTATTGTAGAAAGCCTCTTTTGCAAGAATCTGTGCTCTTGTCTTTAAAGATCATTTATACTGGCTGTAATCTCTAGCTGTTAAATTTATATCATAATATGTAAAAACTGACGAATCACAAAATGAGAAGAAAATAATCAATATTTGACCTATGACTTATCAATTCTTACAGATTACAGCCGATATAAATGGTTCAGTAGAGAAAACTAATCCTTACTGAAAAAAATCATAGAGATAACGAAATTATGTAATTAAAACAAGTAGATTACATTTCGGATTATTTCATATCAGTATGTGATTTTTTAAAATTACTTAATTTGAAAAGTCAAATGATAAATGTTCTTTTTCTTCTATTTCTTTATTCAATTCTTTAAAATTCGATAATGTTCGATTATAAAATTACAGGATGGATGAAATTATTTTTAATATCATGTGATTTTAAAAAATCATGTACTGATTTGGAACAATCTGTTATTTACTTATCTTAATTACACGATTTTGTTATATAACTTTGTGACATGATTCTTTTCAATAGAGATCAATTAGCGCTTAGTGATTCTTTAATATAATTGGTTCTTACACTTAGATTTAGCGAAGAATTAAAGGCAAGAACCAATCATATTAAAGAATTATTAAATGCTAACCGATTAATTTTTGCTGAGCGCAGCCACTAATTCTTTACTGTATATTACGTGGCGTAGAGTCAGCGTTGCCACCACTTGCCAGTCTATCCCCTCCACATGCCGTAGCGTCTGTAAAATGGCATCCCCTCCAGTCATCACTGGTTTGGTAATAAATAGAAGCGCGCGAGCGCCGAAGCACGGTAAGGTTTACATCCACGTCACATCACGTCCTCGGTTCACGTTCGCAGTGAGCGATCTAAAGTTGCATAAAGCGATCAGTCTACGTCGGGACTTGGAATTGACATTAAAAATCGGCGTGTGTACACGCCGACTACGAATATGTGAGCGGGACGCGCTTCATTGATTAGTGCGTCGGTGAGATCTGGTGGAATCGGTAGAGAAAGACGTTCCGCATCGTTTTCTCGTTCTTGGTTCTTCAACCTACGCCTCGACGAAAAGAAAGTGCCCGGGGAAAGTCATCGAAGATGTCATTCGAAGGCAAATACAACGCCAAGAGCCCGGGTAAGTTGAAGTCAACGAACAAATTGCGCCGGTCGAAAGGTTTGTTTTGACTCGCATTAGCCACGCAACTCTGGCATATTTCCATGATGTTATTGTACTCGTGGATGTCAGCGTGGTTGCCAGCTACCCAACTTTCGATATCCGCAGAGCTTTCATATTAGTTCTATATGACGGTCATATTTTAAATATTAGGTGTTGGAATTAATTCGTAGCGTTTTTTAATGAAAGAATGTTATTTATTTCACATGAGCATTAAAAAATACATTAATGAAAGTACTTCCCATCACTTGTAAAACGCTACGAATTAATTCCAACCATAATGACGTATAACGTAAAATGTCTAATGTATATGTTGATATATGCCTGCTTATCTGCTAGCAAATAATACTGGTAATAAATGCATTGTCGAATAACACAATTGATATCTTAGTAAGGTTTCTTACAAAGTTAAAACCATTTTCTTATTAAGTATATGTATCTTAGCGGTGAAGAGATTAATGAGAGAGGCACAGGAATTGCACGAAGCCACCGAAGAATATTATGCATCTCCTCTTGAGGACAATCTATTCGAATGGCATTTCACAGTGCAAGGACCACCGTCGACAGATTTCGAAGGTGGTGTTTATCATGGAAGAATCTTGCTACCACCGGAGTATCCTATGAAGCCACCAAATATCATCCTGTTGACAGTAAGTGGAGATCAGCAACGAGTAACATATAAATTGTTATATCATGATGTTATGTTGTCACATATAATTTTTTTTATTTAGCCAAATGGACGGTTCGAAACAAACAAGAAGATATGCTTGAGTATCTCTGGTCACCATCCTGAAACATGGCAGCCATCGTGGAGTATTAGAACCGCATTGCTGGCCCTGATAGCTTTCATGCCTACACCTGGAAGTGGCACAATTGGAGCATTAGATTATAGCACTGAGGAACGACAGAAACTTGCTAAAAAGTACATACATACTGTAATTAAACACAAAACACGCGTTGCAAAAATATGATTTAGTCTCGTAATCGATCCTTGCATTTCAGATCGTTGAATTGGCAATGTGATACTTGTGGTAAAGTTGTGAACTTGTTGTCGAAAAATTCAATTAAGAAACCTATCACCGAGGAGGAGCAAACCATGCTGAAAACAATTGCTCTCAAAGTAAGCAGTTAGACATGTTTTTAAATATTTATTATAAACATAATATAGTTGAGAAAAAATTTATCACTTATTTGCTACAATACAACTGAAAAAAACAGTTTTCTAAAAAAAATGAATTTGAATGTTTTGAATCATTAAAATTTTATAATATTAATTTTGAAATACAATTTTGATGTAATAATTGATTGTGGAGAAATAAAAGTACATTCTTTTGTTTCTGCATGTTCTTTTTCTGTAAATTATATATGTCATTGTATTGTATATAATTTACAGAAAAAAAATTTTTAGAAATAATTATTAGTTATTGTAGCGATAAGCGATGTATATTATAAATTTATTATATTTGTGTGTCTATTATAATAAATATATGTGTGTACACACACACACACACACACACACGCACACGCACACACACATATACAGGGTGAATTAGAGTAGTTGACCAGTTTTTTACTCGACTTCACCTAAAAATATCGATTATATATCTAATTATCGACTTAGCTATATAGATCAGATATGTGGATACATCATACGAATTACTGGGAGCACTGAAAAGCACATTTTTAATATCTTGTAATAATAATATAATAATAATTTTCACAACTCAACGTCAAACATGTCTGTTTTCATTCAAACTCAAATCAGCAATTCACACGATGTTATCCATGCATCTAGTCGTATCGTTAAGTTTATAATTAGATGTATAATTGATAATTTTCTCATAGAGTAAAAAATTGGTTCAACTAATCTGACCCTGTATATATGTGTATGTGTGTATATATATGATTATCATATGTTATGAAAATATACAAGAATTTAATGAATTTGTAAACAAAAATTGTAGGCCGATGATTCGCCAACGTCAGACGTATTATTTACGGATAAAACAACAAATGTAACCGAAAGCGAAATACTACACCGTACTAACGTGGAAACGATGACGGAAGAAAATGCAGATTATCAACAACCTGAGATTATCCTAAATCGTGTAGAGACAATGTCGTCTTCAAACGATTTATTTTGGAGTATTCTTATTGCTTCATTAGTATCCGCAATAATTTTGTTAATTTTACGACGATTATTTCTTGTTTAACTTATTTGTTTTTGCAAACGTACAGGAATATATTAAGAAAATAGTAAATTTTATACACGTTTTATGGATATCATTTTTAATCTTACAGAAAAAAGTCATTTATACTGTCAAGAATATTATGAACTGTGAATCTAATTTTTTCTTGGAAACGTGTGTAATATACATGATGAAAGTACATGCATTAGTAAATGTTAGTATCCATATTGTTCTTACAAACAGCATTTGTCTTATACATCCCAAATATTTTTATTTTATTGCTAAAATGAAAAGTAAATAAATTTTCAATTCGATTATTAATTTATACTAGTCGCTTTTCATTAACAACATAGTATTGAAAAATAAATCATTATTTATCGAACGTTTATATCATATATTTTATTTTAGTATATTAAATGACTGGTATTAAATTTATACACTTTAGTATCTATTAGTTATAATTAGTAATAAATATTTTTATTAATTTTATTTTAATAATTATTTTCAAATATTTTTTGTGTTTGCCCATATATATATATATATATATATATATATATATAAACTCATATAATTGTTATATTATTTTTATCAATAAATTTGCATTATAATATACATGATACTATTTGATAATAAATATAAGCTATACAAATATGTCTGTGTAACTCTATAGCTTTCTTACACTTTTCATATGTGTATAGCCACTGTAATAAAATTTAATATATATAATACATATACATCTATTAGAGGAAGAGGATTTAGAACAGGACTAAATTCATTTTTTGTATGTACATAAAAATATAATAAATTAATTATTTATTAAAGCATATATATATATATAAACATATTACTTAACATTTATTACACATCATAGTGTAGCGTGATGTTCCGCAATTTCACATTTGCTTTTAT